TTGCTCACTATTGCATCCGTGCTTAGAATCTTGCCTTGCACATCAGGAGCACTCTTTAGATGTTGAGTAAATGCTGCAAGAGAGGGAATATGAACACATCTAGGTTACTTATGAACAGAGTGGCTACGTAGCCTCAGTCTCAGGGCAAAAGAAAAGAAGGGAAAAACTAGAGATTTCTTTTTTTTTTTTTTTAAGTTTTTTGTTGGTTTGTTGGTTTGTGTTTGTTTTTGTTTACTTCCTTAGGGTGTGTGTGCTCACCAGAAAGAGAGATTGAGAGAGTGAGAGAGAAACTGAGAAATCACTCCTTGGGGGGATGATCATGCAACCCCTTTTTCTCCACTCTCCTCCTGCGATTTTGGACATGCCTGCACGCACACATGCCCAGCATGATTTTCAAGCCACCAGGTCCAGGAATCAAACCACAGTGGGCCATGTAGGAGTCCAGCACCTTACCACACACCTGCTGGCCTCAATATTTCTTAGTTCTTTATAAGAAGCAGTAGTAGTTGTATTTTAACCTACCTTTGCAGGCCCTTGCTTGTATATAAGGTATACTTGTATCACAGAAATTACCTCATTTTACATTTTATTTTATTAAAAATTACCAATTCATAGTACTATAAGATCTGAATCCTTTAAATGAGCAGCTTTCTTTCTTTCTTTCTTTCTTTCTTTCTTTTTTTTTTTTTTTTGAAGGGTTTTTCGTTTATGGACACTCCCCCTCCACAGAGGAGACAGAGAGACAGAAAGCAAGAAACCACCCCCCAGGGCAGATGGCCATGCCACAATCCCTTCTCCTCCATTTTCCTCTCAGGATCTTGGGCATGCATGCACACATGCCCAGCATGAGTTTAAGCCACCATGTCCAGGACTCAAACCACAGTTGACTACATGAGAGTCCAGCAACATAGCCATTACGCTAACTGCTGGTCCCTAAATGACCAGCTTTCACTTATTCCTGTCTCTTCCACACTAATATAACACTTTGTGCAAAGTCTTTCCGTTATAAATATTTCCTGAGCAATTATCTAGCATTAGGAGTGAAGGGAGGACAAGGATGATTGAGTTATGATCCTAAGCCTCAAAGATACCACTGTCCAATAGAGGAGACAAAGAATTGAATCATATCATACCCTGGTAGATGTATGTGCCAGCTCCTGTAGGAGCTCTCTCCTGTCCAGAGGGAGGGAAGGTGACAGAAGAGAAGTGTGGCATGGTGGTTAAGGGTGCCCACATGGCCAACCGCAGTTTGAGTCCCAGATTTAGCGGCTTGCTTTCTCACTTTCCCTCTCTCTCTCACTTTGTCCCTCTCTGGTCAAATTGAAATAAATAAATAAGTAAAGTTAAATAAAATAATTCTTAAAAAAAAAAAAAAAAAGTGTCACCTAAGGAGTTTTCCAGTTGACCTGGGGATAGGAGGGCATTCCACACAGATGAAGCCACCTGGACAGAGGTAAAGAGATGTGAGCCTATGGGTACATAGTCAGGGACTTCACAAAGATCAGTGTGGTTAGAGGGATGGGGACAGGAGGTAGATAGCAGGAGATGACATGGAAAAGGCCAGCAAGAAGGAGCTTGTGAACTAAGGGACCTAAGGGCCTTCTAAGTTAGGAGAATGGATTCTATCACAGGAGATGAGCAGCCATTGAAGGTTTTTAAACAGGGGAGCAACAAGAAGTTGGTTAGTAGTGAAACTGATAAATCAGAAGTAGGGAGACATTAAAGACAAAAAGGGGGAGTGGGTGGGTTAGTGCAATCATCAAGACAGGAAATAATGAGAACCCAAGCCAATACAGTGGCAAGGAATTGGCTGCTGCTACCCCAGTCTCAATATCACTAGTGCTTGTGGTAACTTTTCCAACATGCTGAAGGACTAGAGAGCATCCAGTCAAAAACAAAATAGTAGCGAGATTAATAAAAGTTCCTGGGGCCCAACATAGGAGATCTAATGGGGTTGAAAGAAGAATTTGAGCAAGGAGTATGTTAAAGAAATGGTAGCCAACCAGAAACTCCAGGAGAAAAACTATTTGAAAATGGAAATAGGATTATAACAACGTGTTCCTTGGCTCTGTGGTAAATATTATTCGCTCAGTCATATTTTTTTTTAGAGAGAGATTTTCGCTATAGGGAGCATCCTCTCACTGGAGAGACAGGGAGACAGAAAACGAAATCACTCCCCCCCGCCCCCAGGAGGAATGGCCATGCTGCAATCCTTTCTCCTCCATTCTCCTCTCGGGATTTTGGGTACACATGCATGCACAAGTGCCTGGTGTGAATTTCAAGCCTCTGGATCTGGGACTCAAATTGTGGTCAGCCATGTGGGAGTCCAGCAACATAACCATTACGCCATCTGCTGATCCCAGTCATAACAATTTTGATCCTGGGTTTTCAGCTTCTAGAGCCCACCTGGGGACAAAACTGAGAAATAAGAGTTATGGTCTCAGAATAGATGTAAATGCTATTAACCTAGATAATGGAAAGTATCAATAATAACTGCTGAGAGAGGACAGGGGTAAAATGGTGATGGGATCAAAATTGACAGGCCAAGAGACCAGCAGGTGGTATGGTGGTTAAGGCACTGGACTCCCACCTGACTGACTATGGTTTGAGTCCCAAACCTGGTGGCTTGAAAATCATACCAGGTGCATGTGCATGTATGCCCAAAATCCTGAAAGGAGAAGGGATTGTGGCATGACCATCTCCCCAGGGAGGGACTTCTGACTTTCCCTCTCACTAGCTCTCTCTGCCTCTCTATGGTGAATGCACAAGTGTTACAACAAACACCTTAAAAGAGAGAGAGAGAGAGAAATTGATAGGCCAAGATGTAACAGAAAAGGCACTTTTTTTTTTTTTTTGGTGATGGGAGATGATTGCCAGAAAAAACAGCTAAAAAATTAAAAGTTGTTGCATCTAGACTGCAGGTTTAGTTGTGAGGAGGATAGGGTAATGGCCTAATGATTTCTATTACACATTTTTTTGTGCTATTAAAATTTTTGTCTAGGAGTGGTTTTTTTGGTTAATTTTTTTCATTTATCCACTTTCATCTTATTTCTTATATTAATAGAAGCATCAGACACAAACATCCGAAACACAAGGCATATTAGATAAATCAGGTATTTTCTCCCCAAGCTAATTTCCTGGCATATTGAGTCAGCTTCCTATAAAAATAAATATATTCACTTCAGTTCGCATAATTCAAGGCAGGTAAGCCTAAAAGCAGTTTCAACTTATGGCTGTAGGCCACAAAAACCCAAGTAGTTGGGACCAGCAGTTAAGGCACTGACTATGTCGCTGGACTCCTATGTAGTTGACCGCGATTCGAGTCCCAGACCCAGTGGCTTAAACTCACAACGGGCACATGTGCATGTGTGCCCAAGATCCCAAGAGGAGAATGGAGGAGAAGGGATTGCAGTGTGGCCATCCCCCCTAGGGGGTGATTTCTCACTTTCTGTCTCTCTGTCTCTCTGTTTTTCTGGCGAGCGCACGTACCCTATAGCAAAAAAAAAAAAAAAAAAAAAAAATCGAAGTAGCAAACATGAAATGTGATTTACATATTAAATCAATACCTTTCATTTTTTTTTACCTTGACCTAGGAAGAAATCCATTTGTGTGCAACCTAGTCCCCACCTACCTACATAACTGAGACAAAACTTTTTTTTTTTTGAGAGGTTTTTCGCTATAGGGCACGTGCGCTCGCCAGACAGAGAGAGACATAGAGACAGAAAGCGAGAAATCACCCCCCAGGGGGGTTGGTCACGCCGCAATCCCTTCTCCTCCATTCTCCTCTTGGGATCTTGGGCACGCACGCACACGCACCCGGCGTGAGTTTTAAGCCACCGGGTTCGGGACGCGAACCACGGTCGACTACGTGGGAGTCCAGCAACATAGCCATTACACTAACCGCTGGTTCCCTGAGACAAAACTTTTTACAAATTTTGTTATAGAATGTGTGCACTTGCCTAACAGAGACAGACAGAAAGAGAGTGATAGAAAATGAAAAAGCCCTTCCACCGGGGATGGCCACACCTCAATCCCTTCTTCATTCTCCTCTTGGGATTTTGGGCACTCACGTTCACGTACCTTTAAGTCACTGGGTCCAGAACTTGAACTGCACAGTGGGCCATGTGCAACCCAGCCACCTGTAAATCACCCCACCACTGGCTGGCCCAGAGACAAGACAAAACTTTCAGAAAACAATACTTACCTCTTACTATGTGTGATATATTCTGAAATTTTCTTCTTTATTCTATTTTAGTTTTTAAAAATGCTAATTGCTTTAAGTGATTTTATCCTATTATGACCCATAGTTTGAAAAACATGGCTCTAAACTAATCAGTTCTGTTTTTTCTTGGATCAAAGAATGTGCTTATAAAATTTAGAGCTTATTTATCAGATCAACTAAAACTTCCTAGTGGAACTACTTGTTATCAATCTTTCAAATTTTTTTGGTTTTGTAAAGTTGACTTCTATCATCTTTTCTAGTTAGCATTCTTCCCCTTCTTTTTATTTTTCTTCTCCTTCCTTAAATTTTTTTTTCCTTTTTTGATCACTTGTCCTGTGGGGGAATATATTGGGAATAGCTTAATTCATTTCTGGAGTATTTTTTGGCTTATACCAGTTATGCGTATAAGTTAAGCACTTATATTTCTTGGGTTTTACCCATATGTCCATTCATTTATGCTTGCTATAAGAAGTACGGATTTCAACCAACCATCTGCTATACTCATGAAACAATCAAACTTTCTCTCAAACATTAGAATCTTGTGTTATACTCATGAAACAATCAAACTTTCTCTCAAGCATGAGAATCTTGTGGGTTTTTTTCCCCAAATGTAATAAGTTCCATGTTAAATATATAGCTATAAGCATCACATGTCATGTATATATATTTTAGCAAAAATTATGCTGAAAACAAAATTATCAGGAAGCTTCTTGTAGTAGTACAACTTTAATGAACTAATTTAGTTTGTTTGGATCTTTTTTTTTATTATTAAATTAAGAACTACAAGCAGCTATTGAAGAAGTGCTACCAAGCCTGAAAAAAGATAACGTGTCCATCTATTATGTGAGCAGAACTTCCAACACAGATGGGGTTGACTCTTTCCTGGACAAAGTGGATGAAGTGTCAACTGAGCCTATCCCAGAGTCTTGGAGGTCCGAAGTTACTTTTTCCACTCCTGCCTTATACATTTATACTTCTGGGACTACAGGTAAAAATAAAAAGATTCTCAAAGAAATGGATCTACCCTGAAGGAGTTAAATGTTGGCTTGGGTTTTCAAATGTTGTCTTTCTTTGGAAAAACTTGGCAGGCAACTAATACTTTGGGGGATTTAACTCTTTACCTGTGAGAACTAATCTTATTTCCCCAAGCTATGTGTATTTTCCCCCAGTTGATATAGAACAGAGAAAGAGATTAACCAAGAACTACAAAAATAGTTACGATGAGTTGGTTGTAGGATTTTTTTTAATGTTTGTTGTCTATTTTATTGTATTCAGAGTCCACGTGAATATATAATCAATTATAAATGAAACAGCAGAGAAGACCAGAGGACAGTAATGGAGTTTTATTTGTATAAATGTTTTAACCACTATCTTCTCATGCAACACTGATTTGGAGATGTTGGGTGTGGTAGATGTAGACTGACTCTAACACAGGGCCTAAAATACCATATTTCATCAAATATAGGATGCCTAAGCTATCCCATTATTTTATGAGGCACTAAGAAGAAGAAAAAAACCTTCCAATTAATAGTGTTATTGGAATGTTATTAGAACTTGGCTATACAGAATAAACAATATCAAAGATCAAATGTGCTAGGCATTCCTCTAGGAGCCTTATGGCATTTTTTAAATTCTTTATTTATTTAATCTCATTTATTATTATCATTTTTAATTTGATCAGAGAGATGGAGAGAGAGAAGAGGAAAGTAAGAAAGCAAGTCACCAGGTCTAAGACTCAAACCACAGTCCGCCATGTGGGAGTCCAGTGCCTTAACCACCATGCCACCTACTGAGAGGATCTTCTTATGCTGACTCTATTTGACATCCTTTGAATTTCCTGAATCTAGCTGTTTGTATCTCTTTCCTAGACTTGGGAAATTTTTGTTTAACATTTCATGAAATAGATTATTCATTTCTCCTTTTGGTATTTCCATTATGTGAATATTCGATGGTTTAATGGTATCCGTAATTCCCACTGTTTTCTTCATTTTTAGCAATGTTCTTTTTCTTTTTGCCTGGATTATTTCAAATGTTGTGTCTTCAAGTTCAGAGATTCTTTCATCTGCTTGATCTAACCTGTTGTTGATGTTACCAAATTTTTCTGTATTGAATTCTGTAGCTCTAGGATTTCTTTTTCTCTTTTTTTAAGATTTCTATCCTTATCGAATTTTTCATTCATATCATGGGTTATTTTTCTCATCTCCTGAAAGTATGTGTCTAAATTCTCCTGCATCTGAGTATCCTTATGATCAGTATTGTGAATTCCATACATGTCATTTCTGTGATTTCCTGTATTTTGTTGGCTGTTAGTAGGGAATTGGTATAATACTTTGTAGGAGAGAGAGTCCCCTTTTTTTTTTATGTTTCTTATGTCTTTACATTAAAATTCAAGCATCCTGTGAAAAACTCACTTCTTCCAGATTGATGGAGTAGTTTTTATAGAAGGGAGATTGATGGAGTAGTTTTTATAGAAGGGATTTTTTTTTTTGGAGAGGTTTTTGCTATAGGACATGTGTGCTCACCAGAAAGACAGAGAGAGACAGAAAGCAAGAAATCACCCCCCAGGGGGGATGGTTACGCCGCAATCCCTTCTCTTCCATTCTCCTCTCAGGATCTTGGGCATGCACGCACACGTGCCCGATGTGAGTTTAAGCCACCAGGTCCAGGACTCGAACCGTGGTCGGCTACATGGGAGTTCAGCAACATAGCCATTAGGCTAACTGCTGGTCCTTAGAAGGATTTTTGAGTGCGTGTGTGTATTATTTTCCTTGTGGCTGTGTCCTTTAGTACTAGTTTGATGATTCATTTTCACTTTGGTTCTATTTTGGTTTAGTATTAAAGTCTATATTTTCAGAGTCGCTAACAATGACTTTGAGTATACACGCATGACCTGGTGTTGTCCAGGCAAGTGGGCATCTGCCAGCCCCTAGTTTCTTTCTTTTCACCAAGCAAGAGGACCTGGGCACCCTCCTCTCCGTCAGCTGCCCCAACTCTCCCCTCTGTGCACTTACATAGTTCAGGGAGGCCCAGAATAGCCGTTCTCCTGAAAGCCACAGACAGAGAAGGGGGTTGTTCTTGGAGTCTGAATTTGTAGAGGAAGAGGAGTATAGACTTCCCAGTTTGCAAGGGGGAAATTCCTGATTCTTCAGTCTCTGCTAGGGGTGAGAGTGCACTCAAATGCCGTGTTCCTGGGAATGGGGGCTGGAGGATGGATATTCAGACTCATTGGTTTTTGCTGGGAAGATGATCAAAAGGCTTCAAGCTCCCCAATTCTCAAGATTAGAGTATCTTCTCTGTGGTGTACCCTCTGTTTCCTAAAATGCAGGGCACTACCAATACTTGGATATTATGTCACTGCCTTTTCTCAAGAGACAGCCTTTGGCCCTCCTGCATGTGAGCACACTGCTGGCATGACTGGTACTTCAGGGAAATGGAGGTGCCAGGTCACCTGATCCCAGTTGCACTGTGTGTCCCACCTGTGGGTCTGCTCTCATAATGGCACAGTTTTGAATTTGTTTACTATGATGGTAATCCTTGGCCATACTGTGTTACCGTATAACACATTGCTGTTCTTTTGCAATAGCTGGCAGAGGTACTATCAATTATTGAAAGGCCCGAGTCCACAAAGAACTGCCTTTCTCTTCACAAAACCTGCTGACCCTCTCAGGTTTCAAACTCTAACCCAGTCTTCTTAGCAGTACCTTCATGCCTTTTCCAACTCAACCAGTCTCCATGGGAAATAAAATGTTACACTTTCAATAGAAAGTCAGACCAAAAATTATGTAAAATGTGGTTATGAAAATACAAAAGCATTTAGTCTAGTGTAATAAAGTAGTAGTGAGATATCACTTTTTAACCTTTTCAATTAACACAAATTCCAACACTTTATAGCAAGCCCATGAGGAAACAAACATACTTACGTTTTGACCTAGCAATCTCACTTCAGTGAATTTATCCAGCAGAAACAGTGTCATTCATAGTGTGAACTGCCGTGTGTATAAAGTTACCTGTGGTATCATTCGACATAGCAAATAGTGTAATTAAATTATCAGTAACACAAATTTGAGGCAGTGGCGAGAGGAAGAGAATAAATAAATTAATGAGTGAGAGAAATCTCTATGTATGAATATGAGCAGATCTCCAAAGAACATTAGGTGGCAGAGAAAAAAATTGCAGAAGAATGTACATTTTTTTTTTTTGAGAGGTTTTTTCGCTATAGGGCGCTTGCGCTCGCCAGACAGAGAGAGACAGAGAGATAGAAAGCGATAAATCACCCCCTAGAGGGGATGGCCACGCTGCAATCTCTTCTCCTCCATTCTCCTCTCGGGATCTTGGGCACTCACACACATGCGCCCAGTGTGAGTTTTAAGCCACCAGGTCCGAGACGCGAACCACAGTCCACTACGTGGGAGTCCAGCGACATAGCCATTACGCTAACTGCTGGTTCCCAAGAATGTACATATTTTTTAAATGCAAAAGGCAAGAACATGTGAGCAGGTGTTCGTATTTGCTTGTATTTATATAAAGAAACTCAAGAATAGTATATAAGAAATTAATAAATGTAGCTACAAAGGAAGGTGATAGAATAGATGAGCTATTTAATATCTCTGAATCTCTGCCTTCTCATCTATGATTGGGGAATATAATTTTATCTCATGAATTCGTTATAAAGATTAAATGAAATATTGAACATTTCTTGTAAAGTCGTAGGCACAGTGTGTGAGCTTAAAGACACTCATTCCTTTCTCTTCCCTTCGTCTTCAGATTACCATGGTAATAATTATCTAACTCAGGAATCAGCAATCTGTGGTCTCTGGGACAAAGACGATATCCCACCAGTATCTGTAAATAAAGGTTTGCTGAAACACAACATCCGCTCATTCCTTCATATGTGCGTGTGGCTGGTTTGGGCCCTAACAGCAGAGTTAAGTCATTGCAACGGAGACCATATATGACCCTGCAAAGCCTAAAACATTTACTGTCTGGTCTTTTCTTCAGAAAAAAAAAAGGTGCTGAATCCCGGTCTAACTGATCAGGGCCCTTCCTTATACAATTCTATAAACACAGGATGACGGAGCTTCCTAAGCCAGATCCCTCTTTCAAACTGAGTGACCCCTCGTGGCTCACTCAGGCCTTCTCGTTTATCTTTGCACAGGTCTTCCAAAAGCCGCAGTGATCAATCATCATCGCATATGGTATGGAACCGGCCTCGCCTTGGCCTGTGGGGTTAAGGCGGATGACATCTTCTACACCGCCCTGCCCTTGTACCATAGTGCCGCACTCATGGTCGGCCTTCATGGATGTATCCTGGCTGGTAAGCTTTTCTTCTGGACCAAGCATTGGAGGCCAGTGCACATTCACATCTGCTCATAAGGAAACATAACAAAATTTGGCTACTTTCCTGTCTGCTAGGAGCGGTGTTTTAATTTTGCACTAACAAGGCTATTTGACTCACACATGGCAAGCAAAGATCTAAAACAATTTATATGCTCTCATCTAGTAATATGGTATTCGTGTAATTATTTAGTATATCAAGAAAAAAATTCTTTCAAAATACTTTAGGTCTTTATAGATCTTATACTTGATTCTTAAATTCTGTAAATTATTGTTCTTTGTCATTTCCATCTTCAGAAATTGGTTTGTTGATCTCCATTAACATCTGATGAAATGCCTCCTTCAGTTGTCCTCAGCCTTCTTTATTCTTCTGTGATCCCATAGCTTTTCAGGTTCAGTTAGGATACTTCTCTTCTCCTCTCACCCCCTCCCCTCCCCTCCCCTCCCCTCCCCTCCTCTTACTTTGTCATTCAAACAGTAAAGGGTAAGATAGAGGATTTGCCATCCTCTCTCCCCACTAATGGGATCTACTCTACCTTTTTACATTAAGCTTCAATATCTACCTCTTCCAAGAAACTATCTTTAACTCTTTGGTTGAGCTAAAACACTTAACTTTTTCTCCCATATGGCATTTCATTTTAAATAATTATAGTGTATGTGTGTATGTGAACTGAATGTCCTTGTCCCCTAGATTTATATGTTAAAATCTTAAACTCCAACGTGATTATATTAGCCACACCACAATCCCTTTCCTCCATTCTCTTCTCGGGATTTTGGACACACGTACACACATAAACACATGCCTGACATGTTTTTCAAGCCACTGCATCTCGTACTCAAACCACACAGTCAGCCATGTGAAATCCAGCCACCTTAACCACCATGCCACTAGCTGGCCTAAGGTGGAGGGGAGGGATCTTTCTTTGCAGCTTTTTTTAGTGCCAGAGGGAGTATGAGCTCTCCAGAAAAAGAGAGAAAGTACTCCCCAAGTCTTCAATGGGGCCTACTCATGCTACAGTTTTGTTTTGTTTTATTTTTTCCCTCTGTTTCTTCATCTTGTAAGAATTTTGGACATACACACACACACACACACACACACACTTGATGTGTATTTTAAGCCACTGGGGCTGGGATTCAAACTGTGGTCAGCCATGTGGAATCCTGTTCTCTAAGCACAGTGCTTATCCCCCACTATGCTGTGGGGTTACCCTATAGCATTTCTTTATTGATACTTTCTATGCTTTCTCTGTAGGTGCTACTCTTGTCTTGCGGACCAAATTTTCAGCAAGCCAGTTTTGGGATGACTGCAGAAAATATAATGTCACTGTCATTCAGTACATTGGTGAACTGCTTCGGTATTTATGCAACTCACCTCAGGTAACACTATGTTTTAATATCGTTTTGAAAAGGGTAAGGTAGAAATTTCAGGCCCTTTGGATCATGCTAGGCTTCAGCTAATTAGTGTATGTCCGTTTTCAGTTTACAGTTGTTATGAGGAAGTGCTTGGCATCACACCTGCCATGTAGGGGGCTTCCTAGATGTCAGTTGCTATTAACAGTATTACAATGAGTATTTCCTGCCTTTTTACCTGTTTCTACACCTTACCTTCTACCTAGCTACCCTCTGCTTCTCTCTCTCTCTGCTTATTAAAAGCCATTTCAATGATGGCTTTTCTATCAAAGTCCAGTTCAAATGATGCCTCAAATGTTCAGCCTCTTTGGGTCTCTTCACATCATTTCATTCCTACTCTCTGTGGCCACTGCCACACTACAGCTGTTTGTCTTCATGCCTCCCAGCCCCCCTGGGCTGTACCTAAATCTCTGATTACAGGGACCACATCTTACTCCTTGCCCTTTCTTATAGCAAAGACACATGGGTAATTTTAAATCCCCATGTGACTTTGAAACACACCAAACAAATCTGTCACCAGCCTTGGGAGAGATGCCCCAAGGTAATTCTGAGGACCTTGGATCCGCCTGTTTGCATATATCTAGCTACCCTGATGGGCTTGTTCACAAGAGCTCTCCCTGGCCAGTCCCTGCACTCTGAGAGATCTAGTGGCCAGCCTTGGGACCAGATGCAGGCTCCTCAACAGTGTTACTGGTGACATTTCCAGACCCATTAGTTCCCTGCTGTATGGACTTGTTCTCTGCACTGTAGGATAGTTAGCAGCATCTTTGGCCGTTACCCACAAGAGGCCAGTAGTAAACTCCCTTCCCCAGGTCAGGATAATCAAAATGTCTCCAAATATTGCCAAATATTCTCTATAGCTGAATTTGATCCTCATTGAGGACCGCTGAACTAGACAATGCAGTAAGCTCACCAGACTTGCAATCCTTTAATCTAGTCAGTCATCATAAATTAAACTCAGAGGATCATTTAGTTGATAAAAAGCAATTGGGAGACCAGCAGATGGCATGATGGTTACATCACTGGACTCCCACATAGTCAACTGTGGTTCCAGCCCCAGACCTGGTGGTTTGAAACTCACACCAGGCATGTGTGTGCATGCATTCCAAGAGGAGAATGGAGGAGAAGAGATTGGAGTGTGACCATTCCCCTTGAGGGTTGATTGCTCACTTTCTATCTGTCTCTCTCTCTGTCTCTCTGGTGAGCGCACGTGCCCTATAGCAAAAATCTTTCTTTAAAAAAAAGTGATTGCTAAGTACCCACCTTCACCTTATACACCAGCTGTGTGACCTAACAAAAGGTGTAAGATACCCTTCCCCTAGTTCTCTCTCCTGTTCCTTGGTTCGTTCTCCACCCAGATGTTACTTCCTCAGAGAGGCCCCTCCTACTGATTAACGAATGTATCACCCACTCCTCACTGTCCACCTTGTTAAGCTTTCCTAGCACTTACTGCTCTAGACAGACCACAGGTTTCAATGATTCTCGTATACCCCCGCCCCATTGATGGGATCGGGGCTTCGTACACTGCCAGATCCCAGCACCAAGATCTGTAACTAGCACATCATAGGCATCAAAAATGTTACTGAATGAATCTCTAAATTCTTGCCCTAAAAACAGTATAATTGAATTGAGTCAGGTAATGTCTCCACAAATGTTGAGGCAAGGTACATATTATTCTCATTTTTTGGAAGATCCAACATATCATCATAATTAACTATGGTTCATAATTAACTGTGATTTGGGTTGGGACCTTTGCTATAGCAATTACTGTTAATGTCATTAATGAATTTTTTTCACAGTGGTATTCCACCTGGTCCTCAAGATTGCATGCCTCTCTATTAAACCCCAGAAATCCATATGGAAACCTCCTGTTTGACTTTTCTTTTCTACTTGAAAGGCACCCCTTGTCAGTTGGAAGTCTCCTGGGGGAGTATGTGTTGTTTCCATTAGTTCTAATGGGAGCCTTCTTTGGACTGGAGGAAAATAAACATGTTTGTGTGTAGCTCTCTTCCAGCTCATGCACATATACACACTCTCTTCCACCTTTTCTTGTGAGGTTGTCTCAAATGCTAGTAAACAAAGACAATTTGATTGGGGTTTTACACCTTCAAAATATATTATGATTTGGTGTATAACTCATGATTGACCTCCCGACCCCTCATCTAGAAGTGGATCTGGAATTCCTATTTGTCCTTGCCTTTTCACCCCTGAGTTGTTTATCTGGCAAATATTTAGAATTCTAAGAAAGGATAGGGACCAGCAGTTAGCGTAATGGCTATGTCGCTGGACTCCCACGTAGTCGACTGCGGTTCGAGTCCCGGACCCGGTGGCTTAAAGTTACGCCGGGCACGTGTGCGTGCCTGCCCAAGATCCCGAGAGGAGAATAGAGGAGAAGGGATTGTGGCGTGGCCATCCACCCGGGGGGTGATTTCTTGCTTTCTATCTCTCTGTCTCTTTCTGTCTGTCTGGTGAGCACACGCACCCTATAGAGAAAACCTCTCCAAAAAAAAAAAAAAAAGAAAAGAAAGAAAGAAAGGATCAAAGTTCTCTCAATGAACTGAAGTTAAAGATTTTTTTAAATCTTAAGTTATCATAGGAAGCCCAGATTCTGGATTTAAGAGGAGCCTAAAGAAAGTACATCAAAACGACTTCTCAAACAAAAGTGGATAAAAACTATAAGGTATAGGAAAAGGCCCTGGATAGATACAATCAGGAATTTTCTCACCCTTAGAGCTGCCTAAAAGAATGGGCAATCCTGAAGGGGCTAACACCCCCAATTGCCCCATGCACTGCACTGGGGGAGGGGGAACTCCTGTCTTAGATGTACAGCTAAACCACATGACACCATCACAGAAATGGCACACTCATCAGGTGAATCTGTTGTCAGTGATGGGAGGTGACTGTGCGCTTCTTCCTCATATTTTTTTAGGTTATTTGTTACATGAGCAAGACAGGTGGAGACAGAGAAACAGCAGCCCTAACAAGGTCTTGGCGCCGCAATCCACCTCCGCCACCTCCCGTCCAGCCAGGTCGGGGGCATGCATGTGCCTGCCATGCTCAGGGAGGTCTGACATGAGCCAGAGCCTTCCCACATGGGTCAGCCTTGTAGGGCATTGTATTTTACTACTGCACCACTGTCCGGCCCCTCCTTTCTCTTCTTAACCATATTCAGTGGCTTCTTTAACAGATTAGAAGCCTATAAAGCATGCTCTCAGCAACCCTGCAGTTTAGATTTGGGTTACTTCACATAATGCTTAAGTTCAAGAACTTTAGGGCCAGTACATGGTGCAATGGTTAAGGCACCTAGATCCCAATTATGTGGTTCAAATCCCAGACCCAGGGCTTGAGAAACAAGCCAGGCACGTGTGCATGCATGCCCAAAATTCTGAACGAAGAGAAAAATGGAGAAGGAATTGTGATGTGACCATTCCCCATGGGGCAGGAGGTGCTATCTCACTTTCCCTCCTTTTTTCTCTCTCTGTGTGTCTCTCTCCTGCAAGTACACATTCCCTCTGGAACACGTCCCCTTTTGTTTTGTTTTGTTTTGTTTTGTTTTGTTTTGTTTTGTTTTGTTTTAAAAAAGAGCAAGAACTCTGGAGTCAAGAGGTCTGAAACCTGACTCTGCCATTTGAGCAGGATAGTTAAATCTTTCTGAAATTCTCAGCTTTCCATTAGCCAACAGGGAAAATAACAGTACCTACTTCATAGGGAGTTCTACAAAGACAAAATGAGATAATGTACATAAATCACATAGCAAAGTCCCTGGCACTTAGTAAATGCTCAGCATATCGTAGCCATTATTATCATTAACGCTGTCTTCCATGTCTAACAGTGTGCACCTCATGGTTGATGCCCGTATCTATTTGTTGAATAAATCAGTGGAAATTCTGCCCCTCGTGCACAAAGGATGAATTAAGAAAGGACATTCAAATTAGTTAATCACCCTCATTTGAGGTTGAGTAGAGAGTTGGATAGCAAAGCTATTGACTTAAGTGATTTTTTACAATATTACGGTTGAATATTCTTTATCCCCATTACCTGCCTTCCCCTGTTATTTTTGGGCCTTGGCTTTCAGAGAACCTGTTTATGATGAAAGATCATTCTGGCTCATTTCTTTCAGTGTGCAGTTTTAGTTCCCATTTTGTTTCTGATAGTTGCCTAAACGGAAGTGTCAGTTAGAAAAAATTATTTATTGGGACAAGATTTTGCACACTGTGTGTATGCTCATGATCCTGGCTGACCAGGAAGGCTGGAATAGGGGTCACTGTGTGGGGTCCTACTGATGGTGTTCATCTGTCTGTCTCTCACTCTCAAGAAAGAAAGATTTAAAAAATATCAATGAGAAATGAAAATAAACATGATTTTTAAAGATCTTAGATTCATAGAAAGATTAGAAGATAAAGTTGAGCAATCTTACAGAAAGTTGAACAAAAGGTTAAATTGATTGACATAAGGGGAAACTAGCTAAGAAAATAAGGGTGCAATTGAAGAAGTCCAACATATAATTAATAAGAAATCAGAAAAAGAAAAGAAGGAAAATGGAAAGAAGGAAATTTTCAAGGAAATAATACAAGAAAAAGTCCTAGAGCTGAAGGAAATGTTGAAAGGGCCAATTAAGGGAACCAGCAGTTAGCATAATGGCTATGTCACTGGACTCTCATGTAATTAACCACGGTTCACGTCCCGGACCCAGTGGCTTAAAACTCACGCCAGGCGTGTGTGCGTGCATGCCCAAGATCCCGAGAGGAGAATGGAGGAGAAGGGGTTGCGGCATGACCATCCCCCCTGGGGGTGATTTCTCACTTTCTGTCTCTCTGTCTCTCTCTGTCTGTCTGGAGAGCGCATGTGCCCTATAGTAAAAACCTCTCAAAAAAAAAAAAAAACAGAAAGGGCCAATTAAGGGACAAGCAGTTAGCATAATGGCTATGTCCTCCCACCATGGCCAACTGTGATTTGCGTCCCAGACC